TTTGGGTTTGTTTGTTGGTGTGGCGGTGGCGGTAGCGGTTCCCTTCTATTAGATCAGGCGAGGTGGTGGTGATGTGTGGTTGTGGTGGTTACTGCGACAATGGTGAGGTGGCTAGTGTCGCTTTGCTCTCCGTTAGTGATAGAGTTGAAAATGATGGTTGTGGCGGTGATTGATCTGGCGGGTGTTGGTGGTAGCGGTGCTGACTTTTTGTGTTTTTTTTTTTTTTGTTTATGTTTTGAGTTTCAGATTGGAGACGGTGTTGGTGGTGTGGCGGTAAGGTAGTGTTACTATTAGTTGTTGTGGTGTTTAGATAGTGGTGATGTTGGTCGTGGTGGTTGTCGTGGAAGTGGTGGTAGTGGTCGTGGCGACAGTGCAGATGTTGTGGTGGTGGTTCTAGCGATTTTGGTTTTCTGTAACTAAAAATTAATCCGTGATCTTAAAATTCGTTAATATATGGCTAAAAATATAATCTGTGACCAACTATTTTATTATCTGTGACCTAAAAATTATATATTCTGTGACCATGAAAATATTTGTGACCAACTAATTTGAAAATCTGTGATCGTGTGACTTATGAATTTTGATTTGTGACCAACTAATTTTGAAATGTGTAACCAACGAATTAACTGTGACTTACAAAATTTTTGAACCGTGACCGTGTGACCTATAAATTTTGATTTGTGACCAACTAATTTTGAAATATGTGACCAACAAATTAACCGTAACCTACAAATTTTTTGATATGTGACCGATAATAAAATTGTGACCTAAAAATTTTAGATTTGTGATCTTGAAATAATCCGTGATCTACAAAATTTTTGATTTGTGACTGGAGAACAGTTGTCGGAGTGGTCATCTGTCACCGGAGTAGTTGCCGGAGCAGTAGGGGAGGTGGGGTGGGGAAGATGTGGGTTAATTATATTATATTACAGTTAAATATTTATTTTAATATAATAATTGTGAAATATAAGTAATTAATTGATGAAAAATCTGATTTTTACAATTCTAAATTTTAGGGCCTGATTTTTTATTTTGGGATATATAAAGTCTGAGTTGTGAATTTTTACCTAATAATTACTATTGTAGCCTACCAAATCTTGGAAGAAAAGAAAATTACAAACCATTGAAAAAAGATAGTTACCAAAATTACTAAATAAAATTAGAGCCCTTAAGATAATTATTTCATATTAATTACTCTTTATACTTTTGGGTCAACCAACCATGTTCCCACCCCACCCCACCCCAACCACACCCTACTTCTCTATACTACTAATTTACTGTATATATACACCTATGCAAGCAACCTTACAATTAAAAATTAAGCGAAGATGGACATTGAAGAAATTTCTTTCAATACACCAGACTCAGACCTAGATTTCAGCTTTACCAGCTGCGCCTCCGCCTCCACTACCACCACCACCGATCGTACTCTTAGCGCTCGTAGTAGCTTAGCACGCAGTAGCCTGACTCTCAGTTTCAATGACCGCCATTCCACAACCTCCACAACCACGCCTTCCACCGTCATCCCCAGTCTCCACCACCGCTCTCACTCCCGCC